ATCTTGGCATTGTCATAAAAAACAGACATGTGGTTCAATGGAATCAAAATGAAGACTCACATTTCTGATTTTTGACAAAGAAGCCAAAATTGTACAACGGAAAAAAAGAAAGCATCTTCAACAAATGGTACTGACATACTGAATGTCAGCATATAGAAGACTGCAGATAGATCCATATCAATCCCCATGCACAAAACTCAAGTCCAAATGGATCAAAGACCTCAACATAAATTCAGTTACACTGAAAATGATAGAAGAGAGAGTGGAAAGTAGCCTTGAATGTGTGGGCACAGACCACTTTGTAAATATAACATCATTAGCACAGACACTGAAAGCAACAATCATTAAATGACACCTCCTGAAACTAAGAAGCTTCTATAAGACAAAGGAAAACTTTTTTGACTCTAAGGAGTGGATAGGAGATAGGAAGTGGGGAGGTGGGATGGAGGGAGAAAGGGAGGGAAGAGGAACTGGGGTTGATATGTAAAATGAACAGATAAGGCCTTGTATGTCATTTGTGTATACTACAGTGGGGGAGTAATGTTTATGGCCTGCTAACTATGCCCTGCCTCACTTCTGAAAACCTACCTTATCCTAGGCCCTGACCACTCACCATCTACATCTACATTGTTTATTAAACATGGTAAACCATTTCCATCCAACTCTGTAAAGGTTGTATGTCTCGAAGGGTGTATCCAAAGAAGTCTGCTGTCAAGCATCAGATTGAGCAATTACCTTTCCCATCACATGGAGTCCTTCGGAAGCCTGAGAATCACAGTACACAATCCATAGAAGAATTTCTTGCAGAAAGTTCCCAAGAGAACAGACCACAAAGTGCATGTCTCTTGCCTGGATGAAGCTTCATGGGAAGACACTATCCTCTTTGTCCATAGTCTAACCAGCACTAAGGAAACCATGTGTATTTTGACAAACCATGAAGACTTCCCACTTGGGATCTGACAAAGCCAAATCAGTGCAGCCTGATACAGAGATTCCAGAGGCCATACAACACATCCAGGCTCAACTGGCTTGAACTGGCATCTCCATCTCTGAGGCTCAGCTCTTTAATTGTTGCTGTCTTTCTCTGATTCAGACTGTGAAGTGCTCATCAATGCAATTTGCTCTTCATTACATAGATCGAACCACCTTCAATCCAACCTTTCAGTAATCTATTTTCTACACAGAGCATGGAAGAGTCATTGATAAGCTAGACCTGGCCATGTCCTCAAGGGACTCACAGTATACTTGCTACCCTGTCTAATAATTCATTTCATTTTCCTTGTGTTCTTATAACTTACTCAATCAATAAAAATACATTTTATGCTAAAACTACATCTGCTTGCCAGTGCCCCATAGTAGAACCCAGAGAGTCACTGAATCCCACAGAGGGGTGCACAAATTCAGAAGCCAATTTTGCCTTCTCAAAAACAAAAACAGAAAAAAAACAGACTTGTTATGTGCAACAATACTCACTAATGAATGACACCTGATATTGGTCTCTGGCCTTCACATGTACATTCACAAATGTGCCTGTGTACTTGCACACATATGACCTACACACACACACACACACACACACACACACACACACACACACACACACACACACACAAACAGTAACCAAATCCTAGAGTTGAGGTTAAAAGGTGAGTTTTCATCAAATGCTGCCTGCCCCTTTGACTTTTTCAATTGTTTTCCTTATTTTATTACTAGTCACTACACAAATACAAAGAACAGCTACTTAAAACTATTTGTCCGTGGCTCTGTATTTGTTAGCTTAAATTTTTTTAGGTGCTTAAAATGCTACAAAACTTCAAGAAAAGTAATAGGGCTTTTGTTTCCTTGGGGATCATACTTAAAACAGTAGGTGACATTGTCCATGTAGCTGTACCAGTGGATAAACTGAAATTTCATTTAGAGAACAACTCTGGCATTAACCATATGCTACATCAGAATTTGGGGTCAACACTTCAGCAGAGTCTCTACCTTTGGGTTGTAGCCTTTAAGAATGTCCATGTGCTGGTGCCAAAGTCAGTCAAAAAGTGTCCCCACTGTCATGGATACCTGAGCCCTGCTGATTGGCTTTTCAGAGTCTTCTGACCCCAATTTCTGGTTCTTTGCAAAGTCACTAGCACAATGGTGTCATTGCCAGACAAGGGCTTTGGAGCTAGATGGTCTTCATAAAGAATTCTACAGGCAGGAAGGTGGAGATGGCCCAGTGATTAAAGCATCTCCATCTGCCATGCAAACATGAGTTTAGGTTCTCCAGAAAACCACATAAATTCTGGGTGGTCACAGCAGCCCACTTTCAAATTCCTGCTTCAGAAGGCAGAAAGAGCATCCCTAGAGCAAGCTGCCTAGGTCACTGAGAGATCCTTCCTCAATAAATAAGGTGGAAGAGCAATTGGGGTTGGTGCCAACATCAACTTCAGGCCTCCACGTGCACACACATATACATATGCACACTCACCAACATGGGCAAAAATACGTAGACACACAAAAACATGGGGATAAAAGAATCTCACAGGCAACACACGATCTCTGCCTGACCTTAAGGAATTGATTCAACTCCTGAAACCTCTATTTTCTTGTCTGTAAAACAGGGGTGACAATAATTGCCTTGTGGGGCTATTGTTAAGCAGTAAAGGGGGTTAACAATTGTAAAGTGATTGATAAGCACCTGCCATGTCTAAGTGATCAGGAAATACTGGCTGCTGCCCTGTGCCTCTTAATAGAAAAAGACTTCCTGGAGAAGGAAGCAAGATAGAAGAGAGCAGGGGGTCCCCAAATCCCCTGGCTTCTGAAGAAAGTCATGACTGCTTCAGAACTCTCAGATCAATCTGCTCTTTCTGGCCAGCCAAGATGAGCACTCTCTGTGGTGGGGCACAGACTTCCCCCTGTGGCTGCTCAGTGATGGCTCTACAGGTGCCCCTTTCTATACCTGTCTCCCAGTGACTCTAAGCTCTGGGTTCAAGCTGCCTCCAAAATACCTGGGTGCCTTGGAGTAAGGAGTACCCCCAAGGAACCTCATACTGTGGTGTCTGAAGTTAAGGCCAGCCCTGAAGAGGGAGTCAGGCTGGAGAGACAGGGCACCTTGGGGATGGGTGGGGATACAGAAGAGGGAAGTGAAAATCTTTAAAATGTTAAATAGTAGGTTTCTGAAGCCTGGCCACAGAAAAACACTGGCTATTCACTGTGGAGGAGTCATCCCAAAAGAAAACCAGCGCCAGACATTTGACTTCAGGGACAGATGTGGAATGCTTGCTTTCATGGGAACAAAGGACAACGGGCTTTGAAGAGCCTGCAGAGAAGCAGCAAAGCTCAGAGAATCAAAACTTGCTGAGGATCAATGGAGCCTCAAGCAGGTTCTGAAGAGCAGGGTGGGGGTGGTCACATCCCCTCTCCTAATTTTACCAGCACAGTGATGGAACTGCCCAAGGGAAATGGGCAGCACCTTTTGTCTCCAGCTGGCCTGTGTAGATGGAGAATTCATAAGATGTGAACTCGTAGAGGAAAGCCATCAGCAATAGACCTGGCAAGCAGCTAGTGTGTGATGCTACCTGAGCCATTTTTAACAGCAGCCACCCAAAATGGATCTCAGCCATATTAGCACTGAGCTAATGAAGAAATACACATCATAAAGGAAGAAATTACCCACATAATAAACCTTGGATCTTCCAGAATGAAGCCATTAGAAATTGATCAGCTGAAGGCTGTATTCCCCCCCAATGAAAGCAAAACCAAGAAACATTTATAGGTCTGCTCTCACTGAACAGCATGTGGCGGTCACATCGGTTGCCCTGACTCTGCTTCCTGAAAGGGTATGTGGGCAGAGAGGGTTCTTCAGAAAAGCTGGGGATCACCCTGTTGCGGTAGTTTCAGCATAGGTCAGCAGGATACAATTTCTAAAGAGTGAACAGGTAAAGCCCTAATGATGCCTCATGCTCCCAATCACCCCGAGGCCAAACCAGTGGGGTGACCAAAAGGCACTTCCTACAAACCCTTTTTGGGTGGGTGCACTATGTATACACCCACTGACTACACACATGCACTCTCACATGGATGTACAAATGGACTGTTCATACACATATATTCTTACATACTTATACATCCATGCATGCATCTGTAAACTCGTGTGCATGTGTATTATTCATATACATACATTCTCCCAATTATACAAATGTGCACTCTAAATTCATACATACATAAACACTCTTCTACATATATTTACATACATACAAAACTCACAAATACACACAGAGACACACAGCTCACACGCATATATATTCAATATACTCATATGCTCAAACAACTCACACACATATACTGATACTAAACATTCACACATACACATATCCACATACAAAAACCTATACATACTCTTACAATACATACTTGTACATATAAATATTTATACATACACATATGTACACAATTCAAACACATGCTCAGTTATACCATACCACATACTCCCATGTATAAAGCTCCTCATACATATGTACATCGATAGATGTAAACTGTTACATTTTCACACATGTACACACTTAGAAAGATAAACACTCCTGCTTACACTCAGACATTCACATAACACTCTCACATACTTGTAATATTCTGCATGACATAGGGCCTCTATCCTCTCCTTACCCCTTTGTCCTACCATCTGTATTTATTTTATAACCTGACCTCATCTCCCAGGCCCTGGCTCCTAACTGACTATCAGCCTCACCTCATCCCCTTTAACTTAATTCTGAAACCACTTCTCTGACAATTGATATTCTCATGAACTGGATTCTTCTGCTGGACCCCTCCTGTTCCAGGTCAGAATCTTGGGAAGCCAAGGCCAGCTCTCTGATGTCTTGCCTTACCAAAATGGAACTCCAGGATCTGTTCCAGGCCCCAAGTCAGGATTAGACTTGAAAGGATTGTTCTGAGTTTTCGAACGGGGCAGCAGGGCAGTGGGGCAGGGCATATCACACCCATCACCATTCTGGGGCTCTTACCTCATTCACAAATACCCAGTGACTGTCCTTGGAAGCCAGGTTGGTCTCCACAGCCTGCAGAGAGAAAAAAGAATGTACATGAACAGAAGCAAGGCAGAAACTGGCAGACACACAAGATGATGGGCTGGGATGAGGTTTTATAAACATTGTTTTCACAGAATCTTTCCTCACAAAACATGCAATCCCCTTGGGGCTCACTCTGGCTGCTTTGGCCACAAGAGACACCATCTGAACACAGATGTCTGATTTTACCCTGTCCTTCCATGCTCTCCTGAACTGGCCAGTACCAATATTAGAGGTCCTAGTCCTACAGGCATCACAGAACACAGGTACAGTCAAAACCTCCCTTCCCCAAGAATGTGTGCAAATTCCTTTCCAAAGGAACACTTAAGGATAGTATTCATCATTACACAAAACTACAGAAATAGGAAACTGACATATTGAATTTATGACAGTTCATCCAGCGGCGCTGAGTGACACCAGTAAAACAGAAGACACGAGCTAACCTGTGATATTGCTTTGCATTAGTTTAAGGATCCATGGAGTTGGGTTCTTTCCAGTTATTGAAGACAGACACATTCCCACCATCTCTCAGCACTGCTTTGTTACGACACTTGCCATTGCTGTGTGTGAATGGCTACCACCTTACTGTTTCCTATTATTTATATTCTCTGCAAGGCTGGGTGGGGACTCCACAAGATTAAGATCTACATCTCTCAGGCCACAGCTGTGTCCCAGAACTTTGCTCTGACACAAACATATAATAGGCATTCAATCAGCATAGCCTGGCATATGAATAAGTAAGAGGCAGCAGCAGAAAAAAAATCCAGTTCCTTGTTTTGTTTTCATTCTTTGAGCTTGTTTGGCCATGGGCCTGTTTGCTTTTGTTTTTATTTAAGAAAGGGTCTTATATAGCAAAGGCTAGTCTAATATCCACTGTGTACCCAAGACTAGCCTTGAACTCCTGATCCTCCTGCTTTCGACTCCCCAGAACTAGGATTATAGACATGCACCCCCATGCCTGGCTCTCTTGCATGTGTTTATGGGGGTTTTCTCTCTCCTTGAATTAGAAAGCCAACAGACAGAAAGAATTGGAAGGGACTGGTGATTTGCAAGCATGTCCTGGAAGAATGCTTATGGTGAACATGTGCCAAGAACTTGACAAGCACCAGGCACCGTGCCAAGCCATCTATGAACCTGGGAAAGAGCTTTCAGATTTACTCCTTTTCTTTTTGCATTTTTTTACATTTTGGTAATGCAATTTTTATTACTCTTTTGATTTAAAAAATATAGACAAATTAAGGTGCTTAATTAAACTCACTCCATAATACTTTCTCATTTTAAACGAATGTGCTAATGTGGTAAAAACTCCCCATTTATTCCTCCAGATTCATCCACCGGAAGCTGTCTGAAGTGGCCCCTTCCAGATATCATTTGCCCCTCTCTTGTCTGCAAAATTATGTAACCCTTGAAGCCAGAAAGAAAAATTCAGAGGATGAGGTCCATAAATGTCCCAAGAATTTCATAAGAAGCAGAGATAAGAAGATGATCACATTAATACTCGAGAAACTCACTCTCATTCCTCCATTTGCTCACTTCTATCCTGTATCCTTTTGTCACATGAGCCTTACCCAATTAACATCATATTTCCTGGGATAAACATGCCCCTGCCCATCTCAGGAAGGAGGCTCTGGATACTTATGCCCTTGGAAGGAAATGAGCGTCAGAGAGGCCAAAGGCATCTGTGCACCATCGTGCCATATACAGAAACACTTGCCATCCCATTCTGCAAGTCTGGAGAGCCAGTCTGTCTTAGGACAATCATATAAGTCCCAAGAGCCAGTGTCTCTTGAGGGCCCTGAACTATGAGAGGTGAATGGAGAGTACCTTGGGGTAGAGTCTTGACCACCCAGCCTAGAGTCAGTCCCCCTCTTCTCAACATGCAGACTGCCACAGACGTCTTTAGTTATCTAAGACCACACTGATTAGAAAAAAGTAGAGGAATATGATCTAGATACTGGGCCCTTGCTGAATTCAGTCCCTAACCTTTCAGCATCCCCTTATACTCATTTGTTACATCAGCAACTTGCATATCACATTAGCATATAACACAGAACTCATAAGGTCCCAAAGGCTGGAATGCTAAACTGAATTTCAACAGGAGCAGGTCAATGAGGCTGAACTCAAAACAAAAATAGCAAATGCTGAGATAAAATTTGAATGCAGTACAGCAAAGACTAAAGACTGATGAAAAGGCTGGGAGTAGGGGCACTGGTTCTACCCTTGGTGTCTATCTAAGTGAGCCACCCTAGTGATAGAAGAAACCACTTTCTAGATCCCAGTCATGAAGTGAGACATTTTAAGCCAACAGCCACATAAATAACAAGGTACTCTTACTGGGAAGGATGGTGTAGATGTCTAATCAAATGAAGAACTGTCTTGTGGAGGAGTCCAAGTGGCTCTTTATAGCATTTGAGAGTGGTTTTACAGTGAATGGCTCTAGTAATCGAAGACAATATACACAGAAGAAGAAGAGGTTTCTACCTTTCCAGGCAGAGCAAATAGGCTGCCTCAGGGTAATGAGGCCCACCAGAAGTACCCCAGTGTTGTCAATGTCAGTAGTGGCTTAGAAAGCTAGTAGTGACTTGGAGAGTGACCATGGGTGAGAAGCATAACTCCATGCAGAACTGGCATCCACTTCAATAATTCCCAAGTCAGGCTTCAAGTAAGAAGCCCCTAGAAATTTTTTAAAACCCCAGGCCCCAGACTCACTATAAAGGGTCTAACTCACTGAGAGCAGCCACCAGCATAACACCATCATGGTTTCCAAGCTCTGACCTGCACCTTGTCCCTGAGATCTCTCCCATAGAACCTGTAGCTCTGAATCTGAAGGTACAGGTGCATTTTTCAGCTGAAAGGTGCCAGCATTGCCAATGATCATGGCCAGTTGCTGGGAGATCCTAGGGAGTGTGCAGGAACATGGTTTCCCAAAGAAGTCTTCCTACCTGGTATCAGACTCAGGCATGGAAGATACTGGCAGAGAGAATTGATCAGAAAACCCCACAGGATGGCTGGCCAACTTCCCTGTCCTACTTTCCCTCACCAATTAAGCAACAGCTAATTTGTTAAGCCTCTTTTTCCCACATGAGATAAATAGCACTTGGATACAGCCTTTTTTCCAGAGGGTACAGCTCACACAGAGACTGGGGATAGGTGGTAAGAAAGGGCAGCTACTGCAGAGTGAGCAAAGCCACACTTGCCTCCCTTTGCAATTAGTGCAGGGCTGCCAGCTCTGTGGGATGAGTCCTAACAGCTCACAGACCAGAGGGCTGGGTCCCCACCATCACTGCTGGTTTTGCTTCTAAATGCCAGCCTCTCCCTTTTCCTCCCATATATGTCTGTGGCAGCGAGAAACAAGTCCTTCTTTCATCATAGAGCAATTGTGGCATAGGGGAGCCTTTCCTGTATGCTCCTTGTGTCACCTCCCCAAGCACATTTTTGTGACCCACAGCACTTGAGTACCAACCATGTTGTGGTTACTCTGCCTAAAGTCCCTCACATCACAATGGGATATTTAATTACCCAAACTCTCTGTGTGTTAATTCTCAACCACCAACACCCAAAACTCAGGCTGTCAGAACTGTACTTGGCACTCATGATTACCTGGGAATTTACACCCTAGCCAAGAAAGAAGGTGGTCACAGATGTAGAACCCAGCTGTCTTGTTCCCTGACGGGGATGTCTCTCAGTGTCATCTCAGCTGTTCTCAGAATCCAGCTACAGAATGAGGTCACCATTATGTCACTTGGCGTCCTTCATTTCCCCGTTCCACATCTTCAGATACATGCTGGCTTTCTTGCTTGAATTCCTCTAGGAATACTTAATAAATAATTGCCATCTGACTTCCTCCTCTCAAAGTCTGTTTCTGAGATCCCAACCTGAAATGAACAGCTCTAGCCTGGGGTAATGTTAAGAATGAAATGGTTTTACGTGCTATTTTGCCGGTCTAGGAAGGCGCTCAGTACATGATTAGTCATTACAAAATTCCTCCTCATTCCTTCCCCTTGATTCTCCTGCCTTGTAGTCATTCCAGGGTCTCTTCCATCATCATTCCAGACCTCTTCCAAGTGCACAATTTCTCATACTTTCCTTTCTTCACTTAACAGACAAGTACTGTCATCCATGACTTGGCATCTGTCTTGATACTCTTAAACACACAACTCCACTAAATGTCATGTCTCTGCTGTGAGAGGGTCAAATAGTGATTTGGAAAAAAAAAAGTCAATGTGTGCAGCCCTGAAAAGTGGTAGGTGATGTCTCCTCTATGTTCTCAGAGGCCTCAGAGAAGCCCAGCATAGTACCTCTCCTCTCTTGCCCAGAATGGGATTCTCCAGACACATGGTACCCCAGGCATCTACATAGAAAAGCTGGCTCAACCAGGTAAATTGATAGCAGCACCTATATCCTGAAGGTGTGTATTTGGAGGTGTAGGTGAGATAGCCTCATGCTCAGAGACAGCTTTCTCATTTACCTTCATCAAGTGGCAAATTGGTTAGGTTTCTCCCTGGAACTGACAACCATGGCTGTTGGTACATACCATCCTTAAGAAAAAGCAGGGTAGAGACCTAAGTAACTACAGGAGTTACACATGGACCTAGGCAGGACCTAGGCAGGTCTTAGGTCCTAGTGAACACAGAGGGATTGATACAGTGACCCCAACTTTGGCCCAATACACATATCCTACTACATTGTCATGACTCCTGCAAAACTGACGATTTTCCTTGTGCCTGACTAGTGTGTCTTGTCAAAAACAGGAAGCACAAAATTTATGGCACAAAAGATTAGGAGATACGACTTCAAAGGAATAAAGTTTATTTTCTTCTAGCCCTGCTGATCAGAGAGGCAGCAGAAGACGGTGGTAACAGATAAAAGGAACAGATGTGGAGGTTGACACAGACAGATGGTGGAAGGAGGCATAGTATGCAGACACATGCCCATATATGTTTAGATTTTATAGACATACACATTGACACCCACATGTCATCCTTTGGCAG